TCAGCTGCACTCAGAATGTTTGGTGGCCTGTATACGGCCAAGAATTCTAGGTCCAGATGGATTCATACTCCAGAGCTAGGGCGTGCTCTCGTTCGGCAACGGAGATTCCTGTTCTGACGTATACTGAAACCCCACCACTTTGTCTATTCTGACGGTCTTTGCAGAAAAGCTGGTATTCTTGTATCGTCTCCATTCCTACTCACTATGTTCTGGTCGCAGATACCGGAAAAGTTGGTGTCATAAAGACCACCCGCATAATTTTTATAGAATATGTAAATCAGTATTTCATCTCAAATCACCAAACCCAGCAATTAAACGAGATAAGGGAATTAGATTTGTGGATGCCGACTACAATCAAACCATCGTCCTGCTGTTCCAACACAGCAGAAAACCCAATGGGTATCCTGGGAGCGATCAGAAGGTCCTTCCTTAATTTTGCAGAAGAGCTATTTTGTCGCGTAGTTGGCTGATGTTAGAATATTGCATAGAGGAGTGGTGCCCCTGGGTGAAGCAAGATTATGCTTTGGTTGGCGAAAGGTTAAAAGTGCTACTTAATTACTCAGCGAATTTGAATGCCCGCCTTATGAAGATCGACTATGAAGGCCTCCCTCTTATAGGTTTTACAGCGAGGATATGAACATGATTTTTAAAATCACCTGAGGAGTAAATTATGCTATTCAAATAGCCAATTTTTGAATTGACAAAAAGACAAATCTCTGGGGTCACCCTTACAAACTGGAGAACAGACTGCGCCAAACTTGAAGTTCAGGCCAATTTCTTCTGTTATCAGATGACTAGGAAAAAAAGATCGACTTAGTTTGTTCTGACTGGATGCGTTGAGGTATTTAAAAATGGACTCCAGAAAGTTTACGGTGATGGCCAGGTTTCTGTTCGTAACGAATAACACGCAAGTCATCCTTCACTAACAGGATGGTTGCAGCATGAAATATTCTACTTAAAAGATGTTCTTCTCTCTACACGTATGAAGTTATTTAAGAGCAAACTGACTAGCATCAAGATTATTACCTGCCAACTACAGGCTGACCTATAAAAGCAGACCAATCAGACGCCCATATACTACTTTTAATAATTGAGTTTCCTTTTATATATACACTCTTCGGCTAGACGACAACTACTTACTTTTCGTGTGAAGTTATGGGATCAACCAATTTGGTGAATTTTGGATATTTATCAGTGCCTTTGTAAGTCACATTGTAACCAGCGGGGAGTGCAGGTACCTTCGCCTATCCTTCACTTTATAAAACTGAACTGATATAGTGCACTCGTATCGCTATATAAACATAGTTATGCTTTACCAGCGTTTACGTGCAAATAAATTTTTCAAAGTTTCCGCTTGTCACCTTTATATCTACTGGATTTTATTGAATTCTTACAATTACGGACGGTTTTGTCACGCCATATTAAAGCTCAAAGGCTGCCTCGTTGCGACGCCTTAGCGATGTAATGATAAAGAGGTGCATGATAAAGACTCTCGGGCACACAATGTTTTCCCGAGGGAAGTCAGTTCATAATGTAAACGAGCCCACTCCGCTTGAAAATTTGCATTGTTCCTCAGCCATTGAGAGTCTCCGTATAAGTGGCAATGCAGGCGCAAATAAGGCTATACAGGAGTTAAGTTAAAGTGCAAGCGGTAGTTTTCTTAGTGGCACAGAGTGATTCGGTCAACTGTGGTACCTGAGAATGTAGTTCTTTCTTTTTCTAAACATTAAGCATCTTCAGTTTTCCCATCGTTTTCTTCTTCGTCCTCTTGTTCGGTAGTTGAAAGGAAGATGTTGAGACCTCCTTCGTAATTATTATAGCTCTCGACTCATTTAAGAGTTGATTAGCCACGCAGCAACAGCAGAATAGGGAGAAGATAAAATCAAGCAGGATGTTTCCCCGGACATCCCATTTTTTTCGAAACTTTCTTCTTAGATTGCACATCACACAGGGCCCACAGAAGCACGACGCAGGGATTTGCATGAGACCGAACCAGAAAGAGAAGGGTGGAATGTAGCCAAGAACCCGCATGATCTCCTCAAAACCAAGCAGGGAGAAGAGGCAGAAGAAACAGCAGTTTCCCATGCCTACGTAGCTGAAGAGTGAGAATAAAGAATACCGGAATTTTCCGGGCCTCTTAGGTGGGGGTTCAGGATATTTGATTTCGGGTCCATCGAGGCTCGCATGAACATTGCTGTTTAAGTAACCCAGATCATACTCGATTCTTACACAGGTGTGTGACCGTGGCATGCTTGTTGCACGTGTAATTATCGATTAATTTCACATTTGGCTTCGTAGGCTTTATGCTCTGTCCTCGAGAAATGGAATACTCCACAATCAAGCGTTATAGAGAGTTAGTCTTTATCAAAGTCAGGGACAGTCGGTGAGAGGCAGTGTTTATTGGATACAGCCACTATGACACAGCACAATTATGACAATTAACGACTTCCCTATCGAGGATATTTGCCCGCCTACGCGCTAATTGTTGAATGACCGGCGTGCGGGTTGTGACTTGCTGAACTCTAATCACGCGTGGTGGATTTGAACGTGATGACTACTCGGCCATCTTACTCCCTGGCGCTGGCGTGAAGAGAAGCGTTTGCCTGTACGTTGCCGGATTGACTGATTGTTTTGGTAAAACTGAGCCTCAGCACCGAGTATAGATTGACAGATCATTGCACTTGTTTATAGACTGGGGGCCCGTGAACCAGTACAAAAGTAATTCCTGACTCACACGATCGTCATATCTCGCGGGATTTACGGAGAAATGATACCAGTCCTCAAGCTGCAGCTCATTCGATGAGGGCCGGCCGCACATTTAAATTTAATGAGGCCGAAATTCTCGCGAGAAGTGACAATCGTGTGAGTTGCAAATTACTTGAATCATGGTGCACAGGCCCCAGTCCAGTAACAAGTGCAACGACCCGCCCGATCCTAACCAAACCGTGAAGTTGGAAATTGATTTCCGATTTCAGGCCCTTTGCGCTAATGAGGTTTCTAGGCTCTACCCTTGTGTAGAAGACAAGTCTTGCCGAAAAAAACTGAAGATTGAGCTACATATTTTCCGACCTTTGGAAATGCCTATTCGGAGTGAAACGAATCCTTAGTTTTCAACATATTACTGAACCGCGGATTATGCCACGCTCTAGAGACTATCCCTACGATCATTACATGTTCGGAAGTTCAGTCGCTCCGGATTGGAAAACAGCGCATAGTACATCGCTTTAAAAAAGCGGTAGTCGTGCAGCTGCGAACAATTACAGACCCGTGAGTCTGATCTCCATATGCTGCAAAGTAATGGAGAAGGTCATCAAGGAGGAATTGATGATTTATTGTGAAACTCACAATATTTTGTCTAATGCCCAATATGGCTTTCGTAGGGGTAGGTCATGTGTAACAAACTTGATCTACACGATGCAAAGCTGGACAAGGGTAATTGATACAAACGAAAACGTACATCCGGCCTACATTGATTTTCGGAAGGCCTTCGACAGTGTTCCGCACCAACTTCTCCTGCACAAGTTGAGACTGATAGGTTTCGCGGGCAGACTTCTTACGTGGATTAAGAATTTCCTCACTGGTCGTTCCCGAACTGTGTGTGTGGGTCGACAACAATCAAGGCTGACCGTCATCGAGAGCGGAGTCCGTCAAGGTTCAGTACTCGGACCCACCCCTTTCTCTTGTTCGTTAGTGATTGTGTACAGGAACTGGACTGCGAGTGTGCTATGCTTGCAGGTGATGTAAAATATGGAAGGTCATCAGGTGTGCTGCCGATGAAGATAACTTACAGGAAAATCTTTTTCGATTAAACGACTGGTCGCATAGATGGCTTCTGTCCTTCAATTCGAAAAAATGCACTCTGCTGCGCCTGGGAAATCGAAATTTGATCCCTGATGCGCGACCCAAACGTCTCAACGGAATCCCACTCCAAGAAACAGAAATACAGAAAAATCTCGGCATCTGGATGACAGACAACATCAAACCTTCTACAAAA